ATCGGATCTCTAGTGACAGTTAAAGCAAACATAGTAAGGACATACAAGCAAGCAAAATGCCCATGTCCAAGATCCCTAAATTTCTGTTCCTACTTATAAACAAGCATCTCTTCCAGGGTACGTAGCACTTCTGAAATTAGTCTGCCATCTACATTAACAAAACAAATATGGATTTAGGAGCCAAACTTTATTTGCGCAGGTATGAGAATGTCAGCCTAAGGCACTGAAAAGAGAAGGAGGAGTAATGGAAGAGGAAAGAAAGAACAAACACAAGGAGTTCTCCTATTTTGTTCTCCAAGCAGCAAAGTTTGCTGCTGACCTGCGGCTGCCAAGGCAGACGTATTAATGACGTGAACGCCGCGCACTTACAGCAGGTCCCCAACGTCCCTTTCTCCTCGCGCGCTGAGGGCTGCTCCAGGCCCCGAGCGCGTCGCTCCGGCGATGCCGTGCGCCCGTCTCCAACGACCACAACGGCTGCACGTACCTCCTGCGGGCTCCTCCGAGCGGGAGCGGGGCTCGGACCGAGGGGGTGCTCCGAAAGACGCAAATTGTGCACGGAATTAGTCCTGACTGCTAATGGAAGTATTAGAATTTGCTTTTATACTGCGACTCTTACAACTCCCATCTCCGATTAAACAATTAGACCTGCAACCTAGTGTTGCACCATTTAAATTTTTACAAGACCTGCTTAAAAACAGTACGGAGTTTTACCACAACATTAAAAGTTAATCCTTTTGTAGGATCAATGACAACTAGATTTGTACTAGAACCAGATTCTGAACCAGAACTAGATTCTGAACCAGATTTTGAACTAGAATTGCTTTGATTTGTAGAATCAAAGCCAACTAAAAGCACAAAAATAAAGAGGTCGCAGAGAAAGGAGTAGGGCATTCTTGGAAATGCACAGTCAGCTAGACCGGGAGTCTAAAGGGCCTGTTCCAGAAGTGGATCTGTAAGGTCTACGTATGAACTCAAGCATGGATCGATTAACCCCTAAAATGCATAAAAGAGTTTAATTAATCCCTAAGCATTCACTTATTTGAAAAAAAATATAGCACACAAGAGCCCTGTGCTTACTGAACTAGACTCCTAAAGCCATTATACCCCGACCAATGGCATTGGTTTTTCTAATCCCCAGAGGCCATGCAGGTATTTCCATTACAAGTAAGTTCTACACGAGCATTGGTGATTACGGAGTGTTGAAACCACCGTTCCTCCTTCACCAGGAATAACTGCTGCAATGGCATTTGAAGAAAAACGTCCCATTTCATCATTTAGATTTCATAGCATCTTCCTGCTTTCCTTTCCTTCTTTCCTGAGTCTATAAAAGCCCATGCTTACTAAGCTATTAAAAATAAGTCACTAGCCACTGGCCATGCAAACCCTGTAAAGCAAACTGCACATAAAAGGGTAGGTATCCACCATCTACTACAGGAAAAGCTGCATTGTCCATCTTTGAAAATACCTCAGATATTTTCTGTTAGACAGTTGCTATCCGAGTGTGTTCCAGAAGCAAAGTGCTTCTACTAAGGAAGAGCATGGTTGGAAGCAGACAAATTACGTGGCAGATATCAGTGTATTCATAGGCATTTCCACAGAATCAAAACTTCAAATTAGAAGGTTCCCAGTGACAGTATACTCACATTTTATCTGCACAAAAGGCAATTAAATGGTTCACAGCAAGTTTAGCAAAAGTAGATATCTGGAGACAAACCTCCAAAACTGCAGTAAAAGGTTATCTGAGGGATTCACACATCCTGGGGAAGAATATATGCTGTTTCTTAGGAAGAACATACTTGGAGCTTTACTTTCTGTAATATTTACTGTATATTTACTAATATATAGTAATATTACAGCTGTAATATTTACTAATATGGGATAAGATCTTACTGTAACACACCGATGAATCCTTGAAATAGTCTATGCCAAATGAAGTATTCCAAAGACAAGGGAATTCCACCTGTTTCTCATGTGTTTTGGCAGCATCCTACTGCCTTGCATTGAGGCTGAGGATTAGATCTCAAAACATAACAACATCTAAGAAAGTGTCTGCCAGCTGACTCCCAGCAGATGAGCAGACTGACGCCCAAATTGAAGATCAAAGCGTACAAGCGCGTTCCTGCAGGCTTGCGAGGCCTCGGCTGCGCGGGAGCGCAACAGTAGGCGCTCTGCAAAGCTCCACGTGCGTTTGAGCAGGAGACTTTGCTGCGAGCGCTCAGGTGAGGCTGCGCAGTGCTCGGCTACCAGAGGAGACGTTGGGTGAGCATCAACTCTGCCGGCTCGAGCGCCCTGTCCTCGGGGCCGCGTCCCTTGAACGGCTCGTAGCAGCGCCCGCTGCCGCGCGCTGCCGGCCAGGTGGGGTTAGCGGGACACGGGCAGGACAACACGCACCTTTCCCAAGGCTCCCCTGCAATGGAAAGCCTGGAGACTTGCAAGACTCCGAGGGAAAGGACGGACAGCTGCTGTAGGCTGCCCTGTATCTTCAGGGTCCACCAAGACTGGCTGCCCCGGGGCAGAGAAGCCGCGCGCGGAGCTGCTGCCAGGGCGGCTCCCACCGGGCCCTCCAGCCACACGGCCCGATGCCGGCGCTGGGCACGACTCGTGGCTACCAGCCCGCTTGGAGCCAGGTGCCAAGCATCCTCCCCGAGCTGATGTTTACTGGCAGGAGTAGCAAAAGCCCTGTATATAATACTCAAAAATAATAAAATGCTAAAAGCCCTCCTTGTTCTCCAGCTCCCCAGCGCCTCCGAGGGCTCTGACCCCGGCCTGGCAGGACGCTGCAGTCAACACGGGAGCTGCCGGGCTGAGCTGCGGGGCCGGGAGGGCGAGCGGAGGCCACGGAACAGCCAGAAGCCACGACCCCGGGGAACAGCGGCAAAGACGCAGCCCTCGCCGGCTCCATCACAGTTCTAGCAGGCTTAGGGCTTACAGATTAGTGGGGAGGAGCTCGAAGCTCGCAGTTAGCACTGGAGATTCACACCGGTGTTGATAAAAACGCCCAGAAGATGCATTGACGGCCTGTACATCGCTAGATGCAGAAAAACGAACGAATACAAGCACCCAGACTCCCGAAATACGGATAGGCAATGATTCTCCACTCCATATTAAGTATGGCTGAAATCTCTAGCATATTAAATGTTAGATTGCCACATACTTTAACTAAATGAGATCTTATGCAAATTATAGACATTTCAAAAGAGTTATTAATCTGCATTTCTTAAGATATTTCTATCGTATTTCAAACGTTTGGTACATTTGCCAAGTGAAACAGGACAAACTGTACTTTTATATTGCAAGAGTTCAAGCTGGTCTTGTTCCTTCCGTTACATCAAATGGCCTAAACCTAAGGAGGATTCCAGGCCATCCTGCAGAGAACAGCTCCCGTGACAAAAACAGAAAAGCAATTTATTAAACAAATGCAAAAACAAAACACCATTGAGCCCAAGCAGCACTCTCACCGACACGGTAGGGAAAAAGTCTTTGGCAAATTCTCCTATTTTTTTTTTACTGGAGACAGACTCACCTCAGAGACAGAGACGAGCTGGTGGGGAATACAAGTTCCCAGCTTCCAGCCATCACCACCACAGCCCAAAGTCCGAAGAGCTTTTAGTGGAAAACGGTATCTGTAAGTCATTCCTGAAGCCTGCCATTCCCACAGTACAAAACACTGGCTTTCTGGCAAGCTCCACGGCTGCTTTCAGAAGAGAGCGATGCCCAGACGCGGCGCCTCGGCCCACAGCAGGCTCTCCACGTGCCTGGCTGAAACGACCCGCAGACACGGAGCGCACTGGGTTAAGCTGCACTTTAGTAGGAAGCAAACGGACTGACAGTTCTGCTTAAGCACCGGAAAAATTACAATCAGCATTAACATCTCAGCTACAGAAAACTCCTGCCTGATTTCTATTTTAATCAATACCAGCAGAAGAGATCGGTTATTTATATACCAGTCATTCACACCTCATTCTGCCTCTTTTACTGCCAACATCATCTCCCTGCCACAGAATCCCCCATTTGTCCCGTACACTTGCTGCCAGGAAGAGCTGCGAGGCAGGGGCAACAAGCAGGTAATTACTATCCCTCACCCCTTGGCACGTTTCCAACGAGAACGCTTGCTTATGACTTGGGGGGATGAAAGCCATTCTCCCGTAAGCAGGATGGAAACGTCCCAAGGAAACATACATCAGTATACAGTATATACATGCTAGTAATGAAGCTTTCCCTGCTTCTTGCCAGTTCCTTCAGGCACCCGTGCCGCCGTCGGGCGCGTGTTGCGACGGCCCCTCCACTGCGCGGCTCTGCTGCCCAAAGCCCAGGGAAACTACCACGCCTCAGAAACTACAAGGATAACTTCCCACAATGAAAGAGTCAGTAAATTATTCCTCTGGGCATCCCAAAAGTGTTAACATAAAATGCAGTTAAAAAAACACACAAACAAACATGAGCATTAGGGTAGCAAAAAGCAATTTAGTCCTCAAAAAGGCCACTTGCTTGCAATGCCATTCTAGCATTTTAACAGCATGTGTCTGCCCAGGCTTCAGTCAGAAGATGGGACAGGAAAGCACTGCACTGAGCCGAGCTGTCACCCTGCGAGAATGGCACGAGGTACGAATACCATGGCCGAGTTTCTGTCTTCTTTTTCTTTTTGCTCTCATCACAAAATATGATTTTTAGACTAACTTGATACTGTTTCAGATGCAGGTCGGCATAAGGTAGCCCTTGGACCTCTAGGTGGGCACATGAAAGGACGTATGTAAAAGCACAGGTTTCACAGAGGTTTATCAATGCAAAATAATGCAATGCGGGGGAGCGGGGGCGGTAAGGCTTTGACCATAAAAGAAGTAGGTCAGAAGTGAGAAGTGTCACTGGGACTTCCCATAAGATCAAGGAGGGAATTCAAGAAACTGAGTTGCAGTTTGAGGGATGTCATCTGCCACGGGAGGGAAAGCAAAACACGAACTCCCACAGGCTCCAGAATGCACGTAATTAGCTGTTCCTTTTACCTTTTTGCTCTACCCAGCATTTCTTCAAGAGCACAGTCATCTCTGGCTTTGGCATCCTACTCGTCATCTATGAATTCATGTTGCCACTTCCTTCCTGAAAGAAAAAAGTCCCACAGTGAGTCACCTGCTGCGCAGGGGAAAGGGCAAACATAACAGAATATTTCTTGCCACTGTTTTAGTGTGGAAACCACTGCTCCCTGGGCAGGTGGTACCGCAGGTTGTGCTCTCTGCTACAGTGCCACTCACCCCAGATACTCTCACGGGCCTGTTTGGACACTAGAAACTTGCACAGAATTTACCTGGAAGCAGCTGGGAAGCTGTCAATATCCAAGACCTGCCTTGAGAGAAGTAGCAATCCAGGCTCATGAGTCACCCTGAGTGAAAATCTCCCAGCAACAAGGCACTTATGCCAAAAAAAAAGTCTTCATTTTAGTTTAAAACATTCTAAAAATGTTAATCTCCATGAGACAGACGCAAAACAACCCTGAGAAAACACACTCAAGGCTAGGGAAGCCTCCATATCACACAAGCCAAATCAAAAATAAAAACGGAGTCAAATGTATGAAGCAGAGTGTAAAACAAATCAATTTTCTCCAAGAAATAACTCAAGGGGCTCCCATGGGGGTTCGCAAATTCTGGACGAGAAAAAAGATCAGGTTTTATGGGAAGAGATTCAATAACCACTCTTTCCACATGAAACAAATGATGGAGGATTGTCACTACTCCATAGACACAGGGTGCACATTTCAGATAACACTAACAGAAAATCAATAGCATCTTTCATATGTGAAAGGACATAATCTCTATGGGCTCCTAATACCAGCAAATGGGACCAAAAGCAACCTTTACTAAAATTTATCAACCAGCATTAACGCTGGCTGGTAAGACAGGGGCAGCACGCTAGTCTAGATCTTTGGGTTCTTCTCTCACCTATTAAAGAAGGTAATAAAAAAAAGCCTCTCATCAAAGCGTCACCCTTCGTTAAAGCTGAAGGGCCCTTCGGCTCTCGCAAGGACGCGGAACCCTGGCACTCGTTAGCTCACGGGCTGCATCGCGAGGAGCTGTCAGGCGGCGCCCTGACGGCTTGACAAGCTCACCTGGCTTACGGCATCTTCAAGTTTTTCCTTGTTGAACTGTGCTAGAACTAAAGTTAATATCAGCAAAAACACTTTGTGTGTGACCCCGGGCACTAACAAGGCGCTCAGTGAGGCCCGTTGGCGGGACCCGCATCCCGCTCCGCAGGGCAGGCGCTGCAGGGCAGGAAAG